TATCGTCCGTTTACTTTCCTATCCATCTCCTCTGCTCCCCCATCTCGCACCTGTATTTTTTATTTATTTTTTTTTTCAAACTTTTTACCTTCCCGCCCGTCCCTCACGCCACCTGTTGCGCTTTCTCTCTCCAAATCTCTCTTCTCCTGAAAGTCGACTTTCCAAACCGATCATCTTTCCCTCAACTCTTGCTGCTCTTTCAATCACACATTTTGCCAAACGCCGCCTCCCCGTCCTGCTCTCTCAAATCCCTCTGTTTTGCATACTTCCTAATTTTTACCTGATTGCCGCATCTTCATCTTCCTCTCCGCCGCTTTGTTGCTCAATTCCGACTTCACGCTCAATGATTTGGTACCGTCCTCACGCCACCTGCTTCCCTTTCTCTCGACTTGTATCCTTGCACGCGTTTCAAAATTTTGCTTCCTCGCCTTGATATTATAAATTGATGTCTTTCAACAATCCTTTTACCAACGCATTAGCGGTTAGCCTCCGATCGTGTCGCTGTTAGCCGTTGCGCCGAGCCCACATGACAATAAACATTCTGAAAGTTTCGATTGAGTACCGACAGTACAGCGCACCAAAAGCTCGAACGTTGACTTGTCATGTAAAATTAATGGCCACCACGACAAAAAGAACCCAAAAATTGAACAAATGCGAGCGACGGGCCATTCGCGAAGACCGAGTGACAGCCGGGCACCTGGTCACAATTTTCGGCGCACGTCAAAACAAAGCATACGTCATCTGCTTGACGCGCTTTCCGTGCTCACGATGGAGTTCTCGTCCACCTGGAACCATCCTGTGACACGCAAGCCCTACCATGAGTACCCCCCTCGAAGCGGCTCAAACAAAGCAAACGGCGCGCCGCAACACCAAATGGCAGCCTGCCCCCTGGTCACAATTTACGGCCTACGTCACAACAAAGCTGCCCTGGCATTCTTCACACGCATTCGGTGCTCCCTTTGGAGTCCTCATCCACCGTCGGCCACCCTGTGACACGCCAGCCCCACCATCAGTACCCCCCTCTAACCGGCTCAAACAAAGCAAAGGTGCGCGCCGCAACACCAAATGGCAGCCTGCCCCCTGGTCACAATTTTCGGCGCACGTCAAAACAAAGCTCACCTCGTATTCTTCACACGCTTTCGCTGCTAACTTTGGAGTCCTCATCCACCGTCGACCAGCCCTGTGACCCGCCAGCCCCACCATTAGTACCCCCCTCTAAACGGCTCAAACAAGAAAAAAGGTGCGCTCCTTGGCCAACACCAAATGGCAGCCGGGCCCCTGGTCACAACTTTCAGCGCACGTCACAACAAAGCTCACCTCGCATTGTTCGCACGCTTTCGCTGCTAACTATGGAGTCCTCGTCCACCGTCGGCAGCCCTGTGACCCACCAGCCCCACCATTAGTACCCCCCTCGAAACGGCTCAAAACAAACAAAAGGTGCGCTCCTCAGCCGACACCAAATGGCAGCCGGGCCAGTGGTCACAAGTTTCGGCGCACGTCAAAACGAAGCTCACCACGCATTCTTCGCACGCTTCCGCTGCTCAATGTGTAGTCCTCATCCACCGTCGGCAGCCCTGTGACCCGCCAGCCCCACCATTAGTACCCCCCTCGAAATGGCTCAAATAAGAAAAAAGGTGCGCTCCTTGGCCAACACCAAATGGCAGCCGGGCTCCTGGTCACAATTTTCGGCGAACGTCAAAACAAAGCTTACCTCTCATTCTTCACGAGATTTCGCTGCTCACTATGGAGTCCTCATCCACCTGTGGCTATCCTGTGACCCGCCAGCCTCACCATGAGTACCCCCCTCGAAACGGCCAAAACAAACAAAAGGTGCGCTCCTCAGCCGACACCAAATGGCAGCCGGGCCAGTGGTCACAAGTTTCGGCGCACGTCAAAACAAAGCTCACCACGCATTCTTCGCACGCTTCCGCTGCTCAATGGGAAGTATTCATCCACCTGTGGCTATCCTGTGACACGACAGCCTCATCATTAGCACCCCGCTCAACGGCCAAAAAAAAAACCAAAGGCGCGCCTTGGCTCCTTGGCCAACACCAAATGGCAGCCGGGCCCTTGGTCACAACTTTCAGCGCACGTCAAAACAAAGCTCAATGCTTCCAGTGCTCAATGGGAAGTATTCATCCACCTGTGGCTATCCTGTGACCCGCCAGCCCCACCATTAGTACCCCCCTCAAGGGCAAAAAAAAAAAGCGCGCCTTGGCTCCTCGGCCAACACCAAATGGCAGCCGGGCCTGTGGTCACAATTTTCGGCGCACGTCAAACCAAATCTCACCTCGTTTTCTTCACGAGCTTCCGCTGCTCCCTATGGAGCCCTCGTCCACCGTTGGCCGCCCTGTGACCCGCCAGCCCCACCATTAGTATCCCCCCTCGAAACGGCCTAAAGGTGCGCTCGTCAGCCGACACCAAATGGCAGCCGGGCCCCTGGTCACAATCTCTGGCGCACGTCGAAAAAAAACACACATCGCAGTTTTCTCGCGTGCTCGGTCCTTATCATAACGTCCTCATCCACCTGCGGCTACCCTGTGACACAGCACTACCGTCAGAAACGCCCGGCGATTCGCGCGTCAAAAATCGCAAAAATCACTCTCTGGCAGTGGGCAACATGGATAGCATCTTCAAAAGCGGGCCTAAGATCGGTTTCTCACCTGCATTTGAGCGGGAGTGCTTCGTGCCGGATCTGACCAGGCACCGTGGCTCTTGGGCCTCGCTAGCGCGTCCATCAGCGCACGAGCCATCGCGGCTCTTCATGGGTCAGAGCGAGGAATTGTCTTGACAACAAATGGCAGCCCAACACGAGATCAGCAAGAATGGTAAATCCATGACGGTCACGCGGCAATGTCGCTTGGCCACCCGTTCATCCATGACGTCGCTTGCACCTCGGCAGCACTTGCCCGTCGCGCCACAACGACGACAACGCACCACCAGGAGCGCGCGCGCGCCCCGCCCATGGCCCGCTTCATCGTGGCGCGTGTCAGTGAGAAAAGAAAAAAATTGAAGTCAAAAGCAAAGGGATATAGAGGCAAGAGGTTAATGCAGCAAAGTTTCAATTAATTGAAGCAGATCATGGTCATTCCAAGTAAAAAGATGCAGTCCATTTAGCAGTTATTGAAGATAATAAAGATGATGACATTCTGACATTCGGTTCTGTGTTCTGTGCTTCTCAAAAGAGCTTTCTGTGTGTGTTTAGCGAAAACTGTCGGGGCCGACTTGGGCTTTCGCCTCATTGGGGAGCAGGATCCTCGCACTTTCAAACACAAATTCCACAAGACGCCAATGCCCACGCCCTGGAAATGGACAAGGACCGGACGAGTACAGCCACTTGACAAACAAGTCGCGCGTATCGAAATCCTTCAATGTCATTTCCTTCAAGTTGTAGCCCATCCGCTGGGCCAGGTCGCGCAGCCCCTGATGACAGTCCGAATAAAGGAGGATACAGCTCAGGCCCGAATTCAGCCCCTGGGACTGCCTGCAACGGTGATCCCATGTATCCCATCCACGAATCTTCCTTGGCATTCCACAAGCGTAGCAACAGGCTCTGTCGGGGTATGCGAGGTGCACTGAACAATCACTTGTCTCGTGTCCTCCGAAGTGACACCGCTCACAAACACGATTGCATACGCATCGATGCCCGGCCTTCAGGACGGGTTTCGCCTGTCGAATGGTACATCGCATGCAGTAATCATCCATCAACTTCAGAACGCTAATAAACTTTTCAGCCGCCGCGTGGTGCATCAGATATTTTTTTTCTGTCCCCGATTTCGACCGAAATATTGGCGCGACGTTGTGTCGATTCGGTGGCGCCGCAGCAGATACCGTGGCTTCAGAGCGAGTGGTAGCAGTAGCGGCAACGGTAGCGGTGCGCGTGCCACTTGATGCTGCTCGTTTTGCTGCGGGAAGAGGCGACTCTGCTGCTTGAACCGCTGTTGAAGAAGCAGCAGCTGTGCACGTGACGTCCGATGCCGTTCGCTTGGATGTTGAGGGAGCAGGGCTGGTAGCGATGCCGTTGCCATCATCGTCATGATGGCCAGACCCAGGGGTACATGAACTTTCAGCAACCAGCGGCACTCGGTTACGCCGCAGTGTACCCGAGGCTGAGCTTGCAGCCGATCGCGCCAGAGACGAGGTTGAACCCGAGGCCGATGGTACTGGCACGCAAATGATCGAGGCCGACGGGGTTGGCGCGTGTTTCGTGGGGGTTGGCTGTGCTGCTGACTGCATGACTGGCTGTGGCGTGCTCTCGTCCTCTGCCATCGTGGCTTGCGCCGGGCCACGCGCGTCTTGCTGTAAAGGCGCCTCGTCATCAGCATCAGAGACCATGGGTGAAGCTGGCACCGACATGGATGCTGTATCTGCCTCATCAATCCAAGCATCACTTGTCTGTATCCGTGGCACGGCAGCATCCGTCATTGGCCCTGCATTTGTCGCCACCACAGCCGTGTCCTGGGCACGTGGAGTGCTTCTGCTCGACTGCGCCGCAACGGCAGCTGGTCCTGAAGACGCTGCCGTTTCGACGTTTGATGCTGAAGCTACATCCAAGGCGGACTCTGGCCCGATCGATTCTTCTTCCTCGAGCCGTGCTGCAGGTGGCTCAGACAACACATCTTCCTCCTCCGCCATCGCCTCGGGCTCTGCTTCCACATGCGCCACACTCAACGCTTGGGCAGCGCGCTGCTGGCGTGCAGCTCTTGCTGGCTCCAGGCGCTGTGCTGTTCCTGCGCACACGTCACAAAGCGGCTGGCCGGCAGCAAAGCATGTCGCGGCGCGGGGATCTAGCAACTTGCCGAGCGCCCAGCTGCGGCACGCACTGCCTTCGACAAAAGTTTCCATGCCTGGTGCTGGCCCACGTCTCACTGGTAGCCACAGCTCGGCAGTTCCACCCTGTTTATCGCGACCAGCCCGACCAAAGGCCTAGCCCAAGCACATGTACACCATCAGCAAAACCAACATTTGTTTTTTTTTTGTTTTTTTATTTTCAAATCCATACAGTAACACGACTGTTCGAGCAACAACGTACCTGGGCCAGCGTATAGATGTTGTAGCCGTTGCCATACCACAGCACGTGGCGAATGGTGAGCAGATCCACACCCGTGCTGAGGCAGCTGGTGGCCACAATGACGTCGCATTCACCCCGTTGCCACTGTGCCACATGGTCCTTTTGCGCCTTCTCCTCCAGGTCGGTGTAGTAGGGCAAGGCCACGTAGCCGCGTGCGTGCAGCTGGTCACACAGCAGCTTCACCTCGTTCACAGTGTCACAAAAGACCATCATGTGCACACGCTCCCCATTCGCCTGACGCATGTTACGCTGCGTGTCCACAATGGCTTGCACATGCGACAAAAAGTTTGGCTGGTTTCCGTGAAGCACACGCAGCTGCAGATCGCGCCGCATCGTCTCCAGACGGTACACCTTGCCCCCCACTTGCTGACCCAGCTTTCGAAACAGATGCTCCTGGTCCCCGATGCAAAGTTTTCCCGTCAATGCCACGCGTTTGATGTTGGTCCATCTGCCAGAGCCCACACTGGCTGCGACCTAGTCCATCACATCTCGGTAGCTGGCATCCGAGATGAGTGTGTGCGCCTCGTCCATCACCACGGTGCGGATGCGCTGAAAGCAGACCTTCCCGTGTAGCGATTCAGATCCCACGCGGACAAACATGTCGGTCGTAACGATGAGCACGTCCAGGCCATCTGCCACCTGTGTAGAGGGACCAAGCCATCGCTGGGCACTGTGACCTGCGCCTTGAAATCGCCGCAATAAATCGTTGGCCACGGCCACAAACGGCACAATCCACAGCACCGTACCGGCATGCGGGCGACAGCCCAGCTTGGGCAGGGTACAAAATGCTTTGCCCATGCCTGTCGGTGCAACAACAATCAGCCATCCATCCTCCGGCCGGTGCTAATCAATGGCCGCAGCCAGGTCCAACTGTTCTTGGCTGTTGAAACTGTGGCCCCACGAGATGCTTGCCTGCTTGGCCAGCTGGGTCATGTAGGGTACGTCATGCTCGGCCCTCGTGTTCATGATGATACGCCCGTTTGCCTCGGGCGAGAGGTCA